CAGGAAGGCAGCAGGCAGAGGCCCAGCCCATATGCTGTCAGCATTCAGAGGTGACAGACAGTTCTCTGCTCCTCTGTGCAAGCTAGCTCTGCCTGTGCTTCCTTTTTGGGGAAAAAAAAATTATATATATATATGATTGATTTCAGAGAGGAAGGGAGAGATCGCAATATCAATGGTAAGAGAGAATCATGATTGGCTGCCTCCTGCACACCCCCCACTGGAGATCGAGCCTGCAACCCGGGCATGTGCCCTGACTGGGAATTGAACTGTGACCTCCTGGTTCATAGGTCGACGCTCAACCACTGAGCCACACTGGCCAGGCTGCCTCTGATTCTTAACCCAAAAAGCCCCACTTTCTCCCATCAGAAGCTGGAGATGGGTTCCCCTAGGGAAGTTTCCATCCCCCTTATCTCTGAGTCCATTCCCATCCCCTCCAGACAGCTAGCTGGGTCTTCCCTGAAGATGTTCTGTGACAAGCCCTTTAGTGGTACTCTCCCCTTCTGGGCTTTGGTTGGTTGAGAGCCTAAGGAGGGCACACGGAGAGAGTGGCAGGATAGGCTCAGACCGTCAGGTGCCCTGGGCTGTCACTTACTTGCACTTTTCCATGCCCTGGGGCAACTCCATGTCCTGCTCCAGAGCCCGGCCCTGTGGCCCCCTACACTCCATTCCCCAGGATATCTGGAGAGGGGCACCCGCTGGCCAGAAGAGTTCTATTGGTGTGCAAATCCCTGGGCTATAAGGAGCCTGAGCTGAGCTGGGCCCTAAGCTCCCGCCCTGTCCCCAGATCTACTTCATCTGGGTGACACGGACCCAGCGGCAGTTCGAGTGGCTGGCTGACATCATCCGGGAGGTGGAGGAGAACGACCAGCAGGACCTGGTGTCCGTGCACATCTACATCACCCAGCTGGCTGAGAAGTTCGACCTCAGGACCACCATGCTGGTGCGTCAGGGCCGGCCAGGCAGGGTAGCTCAGTGGTTGGGTGTGTTAGCAGGGTAAGGCAGGATGGCCAGGGAAGGTGGGTGGACAGCCAGGCTCAGTTGGCAGGAGGCACAGAGCAGGTGGCTCCGATTCTCAGCCTCCAGCTCCCTTCCCAACCCAGGCTTGGGCCAGGCACTGACCCTGATTGTCCTTGTCTTGACCTGCCCCTGTGCCCCCAGTACATAGCGGCACTT